GCATATGACATTTATAGAAATATCTACAGATACATCATGAGATAGGAAGATGAGAAATATCAGGATATTTTCATTTAAGGCTTCATAGAGGGAAAATTATAGGAATAAGAAGGTTTGGAAATGATAGATACACAGTAGAGGGAACATGGTAGATGACATGCAGGCAATGTCTGCTAGAATCCTCAGGAAGTTAGCCAGGGAAACTTGACTCCAACTTTAAGAAGAAATGGTTGATGCCTACATGTTTTACCTTAATAGAAAGGAAAATACGAATTATATAAAGCAGGAGAGAAAGTCAAGTCCACCCAGGAGGGATTCGCTTGGTTTGAGGAGCTTCCTACTGATGATTAGAGGGAATGCCAGCAGCAGACCCATGGCCCTGGGCTTTGGACAGGAGTTCACAAAATCTGCAGTGCTCTTGCTCTTTCAGTAATGGACATTTTAAGCCTCAGAAAAAAGAGGAGGGAGTCAAACAGGAGGGGTGTAACAGCATGACTCAGGGAGACTGACAGGCTCCAGACAAATCCTCTCCTCCTGTCCCTCCCTGAAGTACCTGTAGGATGGCATTTTTGACCCCGCTGAGTTCGTGGCTTGGTGGTTTCAGTTCCTCCAGGAACTGTGCTCATGGAAAACTCAGAGCAGTATCACAGGACCATATCCAGAAACCTGCCCAACATGAATAGCACTAGATTCAGAGAAAGATCCTTTGAATCAGAACGAACAGTCATCAGTGAGGTGGAAACGTTTGAAACCAGTGTTCTTGGAGGAAACAGTGGTTCCAACCAATCTGCTGAACATCAGAAAGGACTTCACAGGGTGGCGCCAACATTTGTAACCTGACCCTTGAAGCTGGTATAAACCTCACACAGGACTGTCTTGGGGTGAAGCCATCACTCTCAGACTGTTTCCTGGATGCCACCAGAGCTGTGACTAATATCAGTGACCTACCCTCCCAAAGGAATGTCCAAGGGTATGGCAGGCATCTGAAAGTTCAGGAAGTAATGCCAAGAGACTCCGGACGAACCCTACAAACAGGCAAGATGATACTCATACTGACTACTCCCCTCCAGCTCTAGCCCCTTCACATTTGTTCTTCCTTTATTTGGTACCCATTGCCAATTAGCGGGCTAGCTCTGTTCTGCTCTATTCATGTCCTCTTTGTGTCTTTCTTTTTTTTCTTTGTGCTTTCCTTCTTATATTTCCATAACATATTGTTTCCTAAAGAACATAAGCTGGCTGGTTTGCATGGTTTCCATTCCTCAGCTACATTTGACCTGAGACTGTTCTAAGTTACCTAATCGTTGTTCTTCTTCCCTTTAATTCTATCTCTAGCCCAAACTGCCTTATCTCTTTTCCATCTTCCTCCTCCACCATTTCTCTATCAACCCAGTACTCGTCACTGGTCTTACTCTATGTTATTCCTTTCCACTCATACCAACAGGAACTAATATATTGTTTCACACACTACTGCCAGTACACCTGGACATCCCCAAATGATTTGTGCTTAAGAAATGAGTGTTTTGGGGGGCTAGAAAGATGGCTCAGTGGTTAAGAGCACTGACTGCTCTTACAGAGGACCTGGGTTTGATTCCCAGCACCCACATGGTGGCTATCAGTTGTCTGTAATGCCACTTCTACGGGAATCTGATGCCTTCTTCTGACCTCCATGGGCATTGCATGACACGGGTGCACTTACACACATGCAGGCAACACACTCATAGACATAAAAATAAATAAAAAACATTTTAAAGAAATGAGTGTTTTTTAAAAATTTGACTATTACTGTATTTTCGTGGTGAGCCTTACCTTCTGATGGTGACTGCTTTTGCTTGCAATTTTATACTTTCTGGAAACTGTTAGAGATTAAGTCTGGTGTCCTAAATACCAATCTAGCTAAGGAAAAAAAAAAAAAAAAAAAACAGCCCAACCTTATTACAACATAGTATCACTTGAATGTTTCTAACATTCCCTCTGAAAGACTAAGGGAGATTCAAAAATAAGTAAATACATACATTTAACTGATAACATGGCCCTACATATTGCAAGTACCAATAATCATTTTAAAATTCCACAAGAAACATGAAAAGTCAAAACAACCAGACTCCTCCATAAATTACTAATTCCTTTGAGAATGAATTAGATGAAATCCCAGACAAAGAATTCCAAAGAATTCTAAAGAAAACAAAAACAGCTAAATGAAAAAAATGTCAATACAGGATATGAAAGAGGAATTAATAAGATAGAAATACTGAATAAAATCTAAATTGAAAACCTAGAAATGAATATATTAAATTCAAAACGACTTGGATGGGAGGCCTCATCAACATAATTATCAAGGGGATGACAGAATATCAGGTCTTGAAGTTGGCATAGAAGAATTGAAATCTTTATAGACAATGACAAGATAAATTAAGAAGAAAGATTGAGTAGTTCTTTCAAGATGTATGAGGCATCATGAAAAGACCAAACCCAAGAACTAGAGCCATGGAAAAAGATTTCATTCAAAAGGCATAGAAAACATTTTCAATAAAACCATAGTTAGAAAATTTCTCAAAATTATGGAGATGCACATCCAGATAGAGGAGACATTTAAAACATCACACATATAGGACTAGAAAAGAATCACAACATACTGTAGTAAAAACATTAAATATGCAGAGCAAAGGAGTGTATTGAAAAAATGTCTAGGGAGAAATACCTAGTCACATAAAGGCAGACACATCACAATGATGACAGTTTTTAGTTTCTCAACACAAACTTTATAACCCTAGAGACTTGGAATGGTGCATTTCAAACTCAAGACAATTGCAAATGAAGACTATTATACTGAACAAAACTACACACTAGAGAAGTGACAGCCTCTTCAATAAATGGAAATCAGTATGGGATTTTCTCCAAAAAACTAAACGTAGTTTATCATGTGACCCAGCTATATCATTTCGCAGAGATGCTTGCGCATCAATGTTTATTACAACACTCTTTGAAGTAATTATGAACATATGTGGGGAATCTTAAACCAGAGGAGTGTGTGTGTGTGTGTGTGTGTGTGTAATGAAAAATGAAACTGTGTCATTTTCAGGAAAATTGGTACAATTGGAAACAGTGATATTAGTTGAATTAAGCCAGTCTCATAAAGACACATATTTTATGTTTTCTTTCACTGTAGTTCCTTGGTTTTATACAGATGTATAAGGCTGTGTATATATGTATATAATGAATGTAGGCGTGAAGCCCTCTAGAGGGTCAAAGGGGAAAAGCGGAGGGGAGGGAAAAACAGAAAGGGAGGGGACGTGGGGGGCAATATGCTAAATATATAATACCTAGCTGCATTAAATTTTTCAAAATATAGGTTAAAAATTAAAGAACAATGTTGGATACCGTCTAAAGACAAATGTGTCTCATGCATTCTGCTTGAATATGAATGATTTTACTGTGTTCTTCAGGTGAAATCTTAAGCTAAATTGACTATTAACATTTCCATCATAGTTTTCCACCAATCTCTCATTATGTCAACAAAGAAATATCGAATATTACTGGATGATTGCTGACCACAGAATTACAAAGTCACTTAAGTTGTGGCCTCTTAGATTTTCCTTAAGGTGTAAACTGTCTCAATTATATAAAACTTAAGGAGGTAATTCCACACACGAATTTGCTATTTTCTTTTCAGTTTTATGTATTTTCTTTTATACTACTCTATCAGAGTTATATGAATTCTTTTTTTTAGTTTTCCCAAGGCGATCAAATTTAGTTGATTTATACTTTTACTGCTTTGAAACATTCAATAATCTGTGCTCTTTGGGTTAATCTAAAATTTAAAAAAATAAGGCGATATGACTGAAAATCTGACATTCTTATATAAGGGCCCTATGATTTAAATTGAGAGTGGATTATTATGAGGGTTGGAATATCATAATCCATGTGCTATAATATTCATTGTTGAATCTCAGCTCTGTTTCCAGAAATATGGAATTACCTTGGCTAGATTTCTCATCTATTCTGTGCTTCAATTTCCACTTTTCTTTCATAAGTTTTCCTTGGGATTTTTGCCAGTGTCAACCGGAATACCTATATTTTAATCTGTGAGAGAAGCAACATAGCCAATCAGCTCAGTCGTCAAAATAAATATATCAAACTTGTAATTATCCACACTGTGACTTTTTTTTTCTCCTGAACTTCTTTAATCCCACAAGAACCTCCTTCCTTAGCTCCTTGGCACAAATCCCTCTGGGAAAATTTGCATTATTCCCAGTTAATTCGTCCATGGGAAATGCAGAACAGTTTTAATGAGGTCTAAGACTAGTCCACATACTTTGAAATATAATAGTCTTCTGCCCCCCCCCCAGCCCCCACCACCAAATCATTCCAAGAACACAATCTTGTTTTGTGATTATCTGTCCTGCTTCCTCCTTGTATAACTATGAGTCATTTTCTATGTAAAAAGCATATTTTTAAAGAACAAATCTGTTAATCTCAAGATAACCATCTAAAATTATCTTTTTATAGTTATGTCAAGGAACTATAACAAGAAATGAATCTATCATTTCTTTACTGAGTCTCCCAGTTTAATGTTTAGTTCTAATGTTCATCAAATGTTTTGGGTAAGTTGGCATGCATGAGCCTTTATTGCTCTAAAACTGGGGCATGGCAATTTTAGGAATGATTCACCTACTTTTCTAGTAGTAAGCCGACATTTTTCAAATGTATTTTGTTGGACCATGAAAAACCAGATGCATTTACATTTTATCTCTAACCTTGGACTGAGTCATATTCATGGGATTTGGTATTTGTAGAGGAGGTGAAATATTTAAAAATTTGGCACCTGACCAGTTGAAATTCCTGGGCCATTATCTTTGGAGAGAAGCAAGTGGGCTATTGAAGTTAAAGTACAAATACACTCCAGCTGCTGGGTCATGAACATTGTTGCTTAACAAGGCTAAACAACTTTTCAAGTTTGGCGTCTGATAATTAATTTTCTTTCCTTTGCCTTTTTTTCACAGCTGTTGTGAACTTGGACAACTCTGTGGTTGACCTGGAGACACTTCAAGCTCTTTATGAGAATGTGAGTAGGAGGAGAAATTTCTGTATGTGTATATAATACATCCCCAAGACATGAGTATGTACACCTGTAAGCTGTCTATATAGTACATCTCAACACATGGGTATGTACACGTGTGAGCTGTCTTTATAGAACATCCTCAACACGTGTGTATGTACACACATAAACTCTCTGTATAGTACAGCCTCGACATGTGTATGTAGACACATAAGCTGTGTGTATAATCTATCCATAACACATAGGTATGTCCACACTTAAGCTGTCTGTTTTGTCTGTCTTAAATGTCCTTTAAGAAAATTCAATCTGCATGCAGTGAATTTACTAGGTTGGGTTTCTTTTCTTTAAAAAAAAAAATAATGCTTTCTAGGAATGTAATAGGCAAATGTGTGGTGTCATGGTTTTCAAACTTGTCATGCAAAAGATGTTGCTTATGAAGTTACTCATGTTTCCTCTTGAAATAATAATCAGTGCTTTTGAGGGAGCTAATTTGAGCCAAGCATTCCTTGATGCAGTTCACACACATGATTTACAATATTTTATTTGGTAGTTTTCAGACTCTCAAAGTAAACTAATTTCACAATATATAAATATTTGATGCAGAACAAATGTAGATACTCAGAAGGCTTAGCCTCTTTAGAAAAAACTTCTGCACAATTTTAACCTTTTATCTTTTATAAACTGACAACTTATAATTACACATATTCAAGATATACAAAGTGATGTTACAGTTTTTAATGTGGAATCAATCTATTGCAAATATGCATTATGTCAAATGCTTAGGTTTCATGGTAAAAAAGTGGAAAATGTCTCTTGGCAATTTTGCATCACATCATATATTTATTATGCTTTGGAATATATATCAAAAAGACCTTAATTACTCCAGTTTAATTGAGGCATTTTATCACTCAATTGTCATCTCATTGCCCTCAGCCCCTACCTTTGGTAGCCTCTATTTTATACTCTGCTCCTCTGAGTTTAAATATTTGGTTTATTAGTAAGAACATACAGTATTTGTCTTTTGTGTATGATTTGTTTCTCTTAACATAAAGCTTTCAAATTCCATCTATGTTGTTTCAGATAATAAATTTCTATGTTAGGGCTGAAAAGCAGTCATTGTATACATTTATATTATATTTCTTTATTCATTCATTTCTCAGACATATAGTGGTTCTGTTAATGTGGCTGTTATGAACAGTGGTGCAGAGACTATGGTAATACAGATATCCCCTAACCATAATGAAGTTAATTTCAGGAAGCAGGGTTGCTGGATCATGTGGTGATTTTATTTTTTATCTGTAGAGGAATATCCATACAGTTTTCCATAAAGATTATGCTCCTTCACACCACCACAAGCAGCGTGTGCAAGTTGCCACCACTGTTCTTTTACTCATAGCTATTCAGTGGATGTGCAGTGCTGTCACATTGTAGATGGCATTTACAGTTCTCTGATGATCAGTGATGTTGAACATATGTTCTTCTATCCATTGTCTCTTCATATGTTTTCTTTGTGAATTATCTATTGAGGTTCCTCACCAGATTTCAACTGGATTTTTCTGATTTTTTCTATATAGATGTTTGAATTTGTTATGTATTTTTCTATTAACTTTTTACCAAATGTAAACATAATTTGGTAATATGTATCCTCTGATAATATTTATCTACTATAATTATCGTTAATAGTTTTCTTTTGAAATTTTCGTGCTTTAGATAAGTTGCTTTATACACTATCACCATAGTCTTAGAGTGTTATGGTTCAGATTGTGTGACTTAGGCAATGACACAAATGAGTTCTGTGCTTGTATAGTGTATTGGTTACTTTTCTGTTGCTGTGATAAAATACCATGGCAAGGCCACTTATAGAAGGAAGAGGTTATTGTGCATATGGTTCCGGAGAGACAAGAGTCCACCATGGCAGGACTGCATGACAGAGACAGCCAGAACAGAACCCTAAGCACTCAATGTGTTCAAGCAGGCACAGGAAACAGAGTGGCAAACTTAAAGTAAGAACAAGGCCATCGACTCTCAAAGCATTCCCCTATCCATATGTTTCCTCCAGCATGGCCACATCTCCTAAAGATTTCACAACCCTCCCTAAACAATGCTGGAGAACAAGTTTTCAAAACGTGAGCCTGTGGGGATAATTCCCACAAAAACCACTAGTATGCTATGTGTTCTACTTAGTGACTTTATTTATTTTTTTGAGACAAAATCTTACAATGTAATCTTGGCTGGCCTAGAACACACTATATAGACCTGACTAATCTTAAACTCACAAGAGATCTGCCTGCCTCTGCCTCTGAAGTGCTAGGATTACAGGCATGTGCTTCTATGCCTGCAAGAAAAGTTTTTATTTTATCTGAAAGATGACTTTTCTGGGTAAAGTATTTTCGACTGGCAGTTTGTTTGTCCTTCACCACTTTGAATATTTCACCATACTCCCTCCTGGCCTATAGGATTTATCCTGCACGGTTTACTGAGGATCATGCTGAGATTCTTTTGTTTGTTATATGTTTTTCTGTGTGTTTCACTTATTTTGTGTGTGTGTGGAGGGGTGTTAATGCCTGCCATTTCTCGTGTCTGTGGAGGGGTGAGGGTTAGAAGACAGCTTCCAGAATTTGATCTCTTCTTATGCCACGTGGGTTCTGGGGATCAAGCTCAGGTCCTTAAGCTTGGCAGCCAGTGCTGAGCCATCTCACCAGCCCCTGTTGTATTTTTTAATCTCTTGCTGTTTTAAGATTTCTTCCAATGGCTTAGATTTTGAATGCTTTGATTAGTCTTTGTCTGTAGTAAGCTCCTTTTTGGTTGGACTTGGTTGGAGATCTCTGAACTTCCTATACCTAGGTATTGACTTCATTCCCCAGATTAGGTAAATTTTCAGGCATTATTTCAATGAAAATGCTTCATTGCCCATTTTGGTTTTCCTGTCCTTCTTGAATTCTTGCGTGATTAGGACTCTTGGTCACCGCCAAGAGTGCTTTTAACTGCAGTGTGCGGTCTTTATTCCTTTTCTCTTTCCCTTTTGCTTCTCTCCTAGAAACTGCAGATTCTTCAGTAAGGACCATGGTTCTGTAGTTTCACAATATGTTTCTCATCTTTTGGGTTTCCTTTTAAAATATAATTTCTAGTTCTTTGTCAAAATTTCTATTTGGTTTGTGTATTGTTTTCCAAAATCTCCTTTAATTTTCATCTGTAGGTCCTTGTGGTTCATTAAACTTTAAAGAAATTATTCTGAATTCTTTGCTATTTCATAAATCCACTTTTGGGGGGTCCATTGCTAGAACTTCACTAGTTTCTGTTATAGGTATCCTGCTTTCATGAGTTTGTGGTCTTTGCATTGTCCAAGGTTTTCATTTTTTACATGTTTTTTTTTTGGGGGGGGGTGCTTCAGTGCTGAGTCTAGCTAGTGATTCTAGATGGCCTAGCTGGTAATGACCTTCGGCAGCCTGAGCTTGCTTGATGGCTATGTCCCTTCCTTTGCTCTGAAATCAGATTGGGTAGCTGTTCAGACTCTATGCATAACAGTGAGCGAATGTGTGCACACTGCAGTCAGCTCAGGTTGGGCCAGGACACAGGGTCTATACCCCAGAGAGATGATACCATTGTGTTAATTTAGCAATTAGATTGGCTTACCTAAGGGGTTTGTGGGGTAGAGGAAATAGAGTCTGAGTGTGTAACTGAGTGCAGTGTGAATCTGTCAAATGTGTGTCCGTTGACTCCACTCCTTTACAGCCCCTGTCACTTTCATTGTGATGTTGTCACAATAAAACCATCAAGCATATTCAAAGTGAACATAGTCTTTTACATTGATTTAGATCTTTCTACTTTGAAGCTCCCTCTTCATTCTTAGATTCTTCAAGAATCTTTTCCTTCAGTCTGAGGAAGTATTGTCATTATTTTTGGATCCACAACTTTTCAATGGTGAACATCCTTAATTTTCTTTTATCTTAGAATGTATTTATTTCAGCTTCATTTTTGAGTGACATTTTCATTTGATACAGGATTCTGAATTCATAATTTATTTCAGCATAGTAAAGACTTTACATTTTTTCTCAGGCCTCCATGGTTTCTGATGGTAAATCTTCTGTCATTTCTACTCTGCAGGAAAAGTCATCTCCTCCTCCTGGTTGGTGTCACGATTTTCTCTATATTGTTTAGATCATTACATAATGGTATATCTCTGCCTTCTGTCCTTTGCATATATTCTGACTGGATTTGATATACCTCCTGATTCTGTAATTCTGTATGTTTTCCTATCTAGGAATCTTCAGTCTTTCAATCTGCAAATATTATTTTTTATACTATCCTCCCAGTCCTCTCCTTCTGGCCTCAAGATAACACATGCTAAAGTTTCAGGATTTGTGTAGGAATTCTTGTTGAGGTCATTGATTTTCTCTCTGCTTTTCTCTCTGTTCTCCTTATTTGATAACTTCGCTGATCTTTCTTTCATCGATGATCTTTGCTCTTCTGTTCAACACATTCAGTGAAAAAGGCCTATTCCTATTTATGTTGTTTATTTTCTAGAATTTTCACTTGGCTCTTTTTTAATAGTTTCATTTTTGAAAGCATACTCTCATTTATTAATTTTTAATTGATTTTTGTCCATTTTGTACAGTGCATTTTGATCATATTTAGATCCCCTCCCCTACATGAGCCTCCTACACTCCCCCACTGGATTCCATGAGTTCTGTCACATATGTTGCACCTATCAAGCCAAGTTTGTGTCCTCAAATGTCCCTCAGTATAAGACCTTCCGCTGGACCCTGGTCAACCTCTGTAGCACCACTCCATTAAAGAAAACCAACTCTCTCTCTCCCAGTGGTCATCAGTCACCAATAGTTTCTCAGCTAAGCATGGGGATTCTTACCCATTTCCCTGCTCCCATGGTGGGTGTTTGTCTGGTTTGAACTTGCATGAGTCTTGTGCATGCTATGACTGTAATTTTATGTGATTTTATGTAATTTTATGTAAATTTATGTGAGCAACTTCCCAGCCACTTGGAAAAC